CACCGCACCGCACCGCACCGCTCCGCAACGCACTGCACCGAACCGTATCGCACCACCGTCGTTGTCGTTACGTCGTGCTGCCGTCGTCGCGCCGTTCCGTTTCTGCCGTGACGTAGCTCTCCGTAACTTCTCAGGTGTACGCGCAATTTCTCTCCTCTGCAATTCTCTCTTTCGCATTTCTTGTACATTCCGCCGAATATCTCGTTTCTCTCAACGACAAATGCTTTTGAAAATTTTTTATAATTACGCTCAGCAATCGTCATTCGGCGACCTGTAGCAGCACGCTCACACAAGCAACAGGTATTAATTTCAACGAATAATTGTATGCGCGGTGAGAGACACGATAGATATCACGATGCACAATATCCGCATTTTGGAGATACATTATTTCTTGTGGAAATACACGAAGGAAATACGAAAATTATATGCAGATATCACATTAATTCGTGCAATGATAATGTATAAAGTATAAAGTAAATGTATAAAGTAATGACACAAAGCAACCTTCCACCAAGGTAAAGAAAAAGAGAGGTTTTATATACAACATAAAATGGGCAATCACATATTCCCACATTTTCGTCGAGCTAGTCTGAACACGCAAGTTAACTCCGTTGCGTTGCGATTCTTCCACGATGGTACACCCGTCACGTACACGAGCGAAAGATCAATTTTTCAAGCACCGTCGCGGTACAATCCTGCCCGTCGACAGTTTCATTTCCTTTTCGCGTAGTTCGCGGTGCAACAGGTGCACGGGTAACCGTTGGTTTCGACTCGTCCGCTGATTACGCGCGCCTTCGTTATCGATATTCCGCACCCCGCACCATCGCCGTCTCGTAGCGAGAAAGGAAAAGATAAACCGAAAATGATATAATCCGCTGCGCCGTAAAACTCCGATTTACTAATGGCGTTTTTCCCCGAGAATAAAATACGAAAAAGATTACAACTGTTAAGTCTAGAAAGTCAACTATAATTGCGCGAATACATATTTTACAAATATGATCAATATTTTATTAAATGTTTTCAAAAATTATCTTCTCTTTTGCAACAATCTACTCCAATTTGTGGATATGAAAAGTTTGTGAGAAAAACAGAGATTGCCAGTTTTACAACGACAACAGATTTTACATGATTAATTATGGAGAAGAGTGCTCAATCCCCTTCAGAGCAAGAAAATGATATCAGTAACAACGAGTCAAATACAAAAAGCAAGTAAGGGCGTGAAAATAAGTGCATTGAAACGAGAGAAAGAAAGAGGAAGAGTGGTCGAGAGAGAACGAACGTGCGAATGAGTGAGGTTTAGTACATTTAAATGAGAGCCACAGGTAGTAGCATTATGCAGTACATGCCAGCCACCCCTCAGGAGGGGTGAGTTAGATCATCGTGTGCCGCGGTATCCTCATGTGTCGTAGTCTATTTCAACTACCCGACTGGCTTTGCACGCCTTCGCACCTGTGGCAGCACTCACTCGCGTTATTGTTGCCGCTAACTTCCTCTTTTTTCCTCTCTTTTATTGCCCGCGCGTGCGAGGAAGCGCGGCTAATTATCGCTCGTACGAGATGTACGCGAGTTCTTTTGCGCTTCGAGTGTTGCGATAAAAAATAGTATAAAAAAAAACAACATATACTCTTATTTACCATCTTTTTGCCTTGTGATTACGTATCGTAATAAGAAACTATTAAAACTATTAAAATATTAAAATAATAATATTTACCATTAAATCATGTTTTCCGTAATTATATGATTATTTTAAAAAGTCAATATTAGATTTATAAATATTCCAATTATTTTATCGCTGCGTAATTAACATCAAATTTACAATTTAAAAGTATATCATTTTATGTCTAGAGAATCACCGCAATCTACGAAATTCATTCGTCAAGAATTCAGCTATTCGATTGACATTTATGGCAACTCTCAGATCGATCGTAAAGAAGACATCGCGTTAAAAATTGTATTTAAACATTTCACGGTTTCGTAAGCTGGAAGTATCCGTTCCCTTGCCGTAAGTATTATCGGGAGAATTCTTACGAAGCATTCTTCAAATAATTTTCTGTAAAGTGCAACAGTTGGCCGCGGCGTTTCTAGGTCGATATGATAAAATTGAGGTTCTCTTAGCGCGCCAGAGGAGTGTTGACAGATACCTATTATGTTCAAAATATCGCGACTCCTCGTGTCCATTAACGAATGATTGGTTACCGTAGAATCGGCGAAATTTCACTTCAATGGTTTTTACCGTCGTCTTTTTTATCGCCACGCAGCACGCTCGAGCGGCCGCAAAGCTCTGTCGTTGAAAGAGAAATTATGCATTCCGCGTGTACGCGGGTGTACGTTGCCCGCGAACGGCCTATGGAATTTCACTCACCCTGTCCCCTTTCACCGTTCCCTTGCCGTAAGTACTCGAATATGTAGATAGTGCTAGCCTCTCGACCTTTTAGAGCAAACGTGTTATTATTAATTATTAAATAAATTATGAAATATATAAAAACATTGAAATATATATAAAAACAAAGAAATGGATTGATTCAAACATTATTTTTTAACGTGTTCTTTTACTCTAACAGTTTTTTATACTATTTAAGCACAAGATTTTCACGTATCGTATTAACGTACAATTAATTTCGCCGATTGACGTAACATGACGAAAGATCGGTTATTCGTCATGTTTTGCCCCTTTTCGCACTTTTTACTGCTCGCCGCTCGCAGACTTTTCACGAAGCTAACACCGCGGTGATCCACCGCGGGCGGCTAATAGAAGGTTCGCGCAAGGTGCACAAATTTGCGTTCGTTTCGCGTGCTATAGTGGCTCGCTGCCATAAGTGCTATCGCTTGTCGTAGAAAACCGTAAGCAGATGAAAAAAAAACAGAGAGAGAGAGAGAGAAGAGAGAG